GGGCCGTTGGATGGCACGGCCGGTGTCCGTGCGGGCAGCAACGGCCTCGCGCGCCGCCAGGCACAGTTGGGATGGATGCCGAGGTGACCGAGCATCGTGCTCCAGCCCCTCCCGGCACAGTCCGGCTCCTGCCTGCCTTATAGGAACCCCTCCTTCCGGAACTGCTCCTTCAGGATGTCTCTGTACTGGTCGAAGCCACCCTCGATGCGGGTGACAGTGGCGTTCTCGCACACCCACAGCTCCTGGCACACCAGGCGGATGAAGCGCTCGTCGTGGGACACCAGAATCACGCCGCCCTGCCGACACACAACGGGGGGAAAGGAACTCAGCGGAGCACAACGCGGGGCCCAGGGCATTGCCTGTCCAGCAATTCCCAAGGACTACACAGTTCCATCCGCTCCAGGGCAACCGCAGTGGTACTTCACCGGCAGGGACCTCATCCTGCCTTTCCGTCAGACGGGTGGCGCAGGGAGGGGCCACGTGCCACAGGATTCAGCCACCCCACTCGGAAAGGAAGTGCAGGGTTTGTTACTGGCTGTCCCAGTCTCCCAACAACTCAGGGATGGAGATTCCAAGTGGAGGCAACAACAGGCCAACGGTGGCCGGAGCAGGCCTGGAGCAACCCAAAGGTTTTCTTTCCGCCCCAACCCAAGCAACCACCAAACAGCGAGAACCAGGTCGATCAGAGTGATGTGTGGAGGCTGAGTCCTTGGAGATCAGCCAGAAAACGTGCTTAGGGAAGATCCGAGAGGCCCAAGGCAGGGCTGCGCCCCGCATGCGGCACACGAGTGCTCAGAGGGTCGAGGTGGCCGGCCAGGATGAGGGACAAGGTGCTCTCTGGTCTGTTGTCACCTCTCAGCCACCCCCAGCCAACGTCCGCAAGGGAAGCAGACCCCAGGATGGGCAGCTAAGGCAGAAACGTGACCAACCCTTCCCAACATCTCTTCCCACTGGAATTCTACTGCCCACCCCTGGCTGAGATACTGAGCTGGAGGCTGAAAAAAACAGGATGAAAACCAGGAGATCTTGCCAAGGGAGCCCTTACCCGGAACTTGTTCAGTGCCTTTGCCAGCGCCTCGATGGTCTCCATGTCCAGGTGATTTGTCGGCTCATCCAGGATGTAGAAGTTGGGACTGGAAGAGAAGATGGCTCTGAGCGTGCACTGGGACAGGCCGGGGCTGGCTCCGCACCCCTTCGGGCTGCAGGGACCTCTGCCAGGCATTAGCCATGAAAAGCCGCAGCCTCTGGCATTTGCGTGGCCCCGAGATCGGCGTTGCCCAGCTCCCGGGTCACCTCTTATCCCCAAAACAGTGGGAAAAACCCCCCTGCCTCATCTGCACAGTCCCCACAGGGTGACAACCTCCCTCCCCACAAAAGTCCCACAGAGAGTGCTTCCGCGGGGCAGAGGGAAGCCCCTGGATGCCCACCTCCCTCCCGAGAAAGCAGGCTCCAGGGATGCAGGGATGGAGCCACGGAAACATCAACAGCGTCTGGGAGAAAATTACCAAGACATGGTCATCTGGGCAAAGGCCACGCGACTCTTCTGACCCCCAGACAGGCTGGCCACGGGACGCACGGCCAGC